CAAATAAAAGGTGCCGTTTCAGATTTTCCAGGGATGCCTTTCAGTATGGGTGGTCATGCACGGCGCCAGCGTCAAGATCCTGTTGTGCAGCATGAGTTGCTGGTTTCTTTAGAAGATATTTACAAGGGTTGTACCAAAAAAAATGAAAATTACTAGGTAACTGATTTGATTCCTTTCTGCAGTTATTAAAATTTTTTCAGTTTTTACAAGTGTCGTCGATTTCAACTTTTGTCTTCGGTGTTCAGACATATTATGTGCAGAGTATTGTTTCTGATCTTTACAGGAAGGTGTTAGCTCCCGATGGGCAATCGACACGGATAGAGGATAAAGTATTGACAATCAATATCAAGCCTGGTTGGAAGAGTGGGACCAAAATCACGTTCCCTAAAGAAGGGGATCAACATCCAGGACGTGTTCCTGCCGACATTGTGTTTGTTATCAAAGACAAACATCATCCTAAATTCAAGGTACTCCTTTAATTAATTTTATAAAAACTTTTAAAAGATAGCGATGTTTAAGAGTAAGATGAGGACTTGTTCAATTTCCAATTATTTGCTCTCTTTTTAGCGAGAAGGTGCAGATATCCGGTATATACACAAGCTGGCGCTACGTGACGCTTTATGTGGAACGATCATACATGTTCCAACTTTGGATGGTACAACATATCCGATGCGTATCAACGAAGTCATTAGACCAAATACGTCCAGGAGGTTTGTTTCCTCTATTTCTTCCAACAGCATTGTTTTTTGATGGTTTCCATTAACTTGAAAAGTTTGTGGAATGAATTCAAGGGTACTGTCACAATGGGATTCTTGTGTAATTTGACGGTTTTTGGTGTTACTGTACTCAAGTGATAAATGATTCCACCTCTTAAAGATTTTCCCGGCATAAGTTTTTCGAAAAATGCTTGCCACTTTCTAATACTTTTGTGATAGCCCTAGCGATATACGAAATAATTTTCAGTAACTCAAAATTTGTACTTGTTCTTTCACTTTTCTAATAATCAATGTTAACAACTTGACCAAATCCTTCTCATTTCTGTTTTCCAATACATTGGATTTATTTGAAGGTTGACAGGACAGGGCTTACCGAATCCTAAAATGGCTGGACGACGAGGTGATTTAATTGTTGAATTTGATGTGAAGTTTCCAGATTCACTTTCATCAGCATCCAAAGAACTGATAATGAATGCACTGCCAGCATGAATCAGGTCATAGTGCTTTGCTGACTTTATTTGTATAAGCTGAAAGCTCTCCGTGTTTCTTGTAATCGATCAGTTTTAATAGGTGTTAATGATTTTAGGTGATCTGCTTACATTTGGATTGTATAAAACTCGCAGTGTCTTTTTTTCATTGTATAAAAGCCGATATATCGGAAAAACTACGAAATGGAAGTCTGGGATACGTACTAAATCTCAGGTGTGGTCTTTAAAGGAAATATGGTCATTATGACTTTAGAGATTGTTTTTGTTTTTCTCTCCCTCTAAAGCTAAAAAGCTAAAAAAATGCATTTCTTTAATATTTTCACATCGTTTGCAGTGTTCTTTTTTTTTCATATATATTTCATCAGAATTTGCCGGTAACTCGCTATGTACTTTTCTGAAGGTGCATATCTGTTGGGGACAACCACTTTTCTCGTCAAGTTTATTTTGCCATTCAAATTGTCGGTAGTTCACTTTGCCTTAATGTTATGCTCCTGAAACTTCTGGAACATTGCAGAGTGGTCTGTTGCACGATGATGAAAATTGTATATACTAATATTTTAAGCAAAGATATAGGCTTTTAATCCTCCTTTTTTTTTGTGTGTCTGCTGGCTGTAGCTTTCGTCTTTGTTTTTACTATAACAATGCTGAATTTTCCTGTTTCAATCTTACGGGTGTTGAATGTATTGAATAACAATTCCCGTCTTTTGGTGGAAAAATTGTTTGAAATAAGTTTTAACCTTGAAGAAATGATTACAGGGATAGGGTGTGGATGAGAGATATTGAGGGAGTGATAAGCAATTCACGAGAAGCGGTATTGGAGTAGGAGAGGTAACTTTCGCTCCTCTCTCTATCTCTGAAAATGAATACATAAATAGCTGAAAATGGTATTTCTCTGGATAACGAATATATAAATTTGTCTTCCAAGAAGTGTGCCAAATAATGAGAATTGAAAATGGATTAGTGCTTAAGTCTGTAGAGTTTTGATGACGAGGGAAAGCAACGTTTAGTTGTCATTGAGATCAACTGAACCAGGCTTTATACAGTTCTGTCCTCAATGTTGTGCGGTATTTTGTTTGTAGAACAGGTAATTGTAGCTTATGACTGCGATGTTTGCAAAAGAAGTTTGAGACAAGTGAAATATTTTCGACTCTGGTTGGTGATAAGTTTTGTCAGATACGAATGGTGTGTTTATAGTATCCACATTGGGAATAAACAAATGGGTGGAAACTGTTTCGATGAGCTTACAGTGTTTGCGACCAGTGGCGGAGAATTGCGATATTTGATCTCTAATGTCGTTACCACAAATCATTTAAGGCAGCGTACTTTCCGCGGTTACTGCGATTTTCAATGTATCGCTGCTGTTATGCTGTCGAATTGTTCATTAATTCTTAAGTTATGTGTGAGAACCATGGGAATTGACAAAAGCTTGGTGGTGCTCCTGCTTTATTCTACTTTCATCTCAAGGCGGACCTTGCAAGTCCTGAAAGTTGAAATCCGCTGTGAAGTCATTGAGGAGGGTTGATCGGAATCATCCTGAATTCGTTTCAAAGTTCACTTTCATAAGCCGGCCGATGCTACATAAGTTTCAACTTGGCAGGCGTTGATACCTCGTTCGATTTTGAAGAATCCGTGGTCACCCCACCTGAAAGTAGTTCCCGTTAAACTACGGTCGCTTTTACAAAAATAAGGTTTTATTAAGCAAGTATGAGAATTGAGATTTAGTTTCGAACTCACTGAGGTTCAAACATGAAGAGAACGTTCGAGATAATTTTAATATCTTGCTGTTCTATCTTATAGTAAGATATTGAAATACTATTAAAATAGCAAGACTATATTCACCTTACTATACTAGAAGTATCTTACTGTACTTACCATTCACCCCAGCTGTTTTTAATTAACCAGTATTTCTTGCCATTTTCCGTACCATAACCGATCACTTCGGCTGCATGGTTTGGCTCCATTGCGGAGCATTCTTCATTGTCCGGCAATACACCGGATTTGTAAAACTTGTACCGTTTCGGAAATGCAAGATCTGTTAGGTAGAAAATATTGAAAAAGTTCTGGCAAAGAAAAGAACTGGTTACAGATATCAGATGTTAAAAGCTGTTAAAACAATTGTTGTGTTTTTATCACAAGAGGTTGGAGTATAAAATGTACTTATTACAATGCTATCCAGTTCTGTAGTAAAATTAAACCCAAAGACCACTGGGAAATTTTATAACCGAATTCTGTTACATGATTAGGAAGAAAGAAAGCCCTTGCCGAAATGTTATTTACGTAGAATTTTTCATAGATACTGAAGATTGTCTCTTGCGTTCCTCTGATATTATATTTGGAATATTTTCCTACAATTATTTGTCTTAAATTCCGAGCATAGTTAACCGAAGAAGGTCAATGACAAAGGGTACTGGTTGTCATGATCACGTTTAGATTAATGAAAGTCAGTGAAAAATGGTTCATTTGTCATTCCCATTCAATTTGTCAACTTTTAGGTCACAGAAGAATAATGTAATGGTCAAAGAACTGTTATACTAGTAGTAATATTTAACTATCATTCCATCTTTTAGTTAATAATTCTTTCTCTTCACCCTTTCATCCCTTTGCAAATAGCTCGAGAAACTTAACTTTCATCCGAGAGTGCATCCTTCACTTATGGGTACTCTTGGGAAGATTGAAGGACATATGAAATACGAAAATATTCATTGTTAAGGTAGATTCCTACTCAGTCATCTCATACAAAAAGTTTCACAATCCCCAAAAAACAAACTCAACGCAACCGGTGCCACATTTGCTACAAACCAAGCCATTGCATTTGGATCCGGATCGATTTGATATAGTTTGTTGATGAAAATTTCACCATATGCTGGACAAAAATAATTATTCCACAATAACGTAGGGTAATTTATCATTTGCGTGTAACCAATATATTTCCCACGTCTGTAGAATGGCAGTAATTGAAAATTTCAATAATTTTACCAAAACTTTTTAGAGGAAATTGAAGTATTTCCTTAAGAAATGTTTTCATAGTTATAATTTTATAGCAATTGCACCACGGATAAATCATATAGGATCAAAATTTCTCATTATCTTTTGTGGTTTTTGTTCGGTTGATCTGCGATGTATAGTTGATTTCGCTTGATAACAATGAACAATGTTTTGTCAGTAAAGGCAACTTGTGTGTATATCGGTTTTATTCGAAATGTTTGTAACTGATTTAGAAGGAATATGAAAAGGATTTTTTCACAATAAATATTTTAAAGTCTTGCGCAATTTATTTAAAAGAAATTATATAATTTCATAAAATTGCTTAAATTAAAATGACAGAATATTTTTTAAAGGGTTAATAACTAACGCCAGCGACTTCATGATACTACCACTCCCACAACCATTGTTGGTATAATCACAATCGAGCATTTCATATTCCGATATGGAAATATATTGGTGATATTTGATTGCATACAGTGATTCTATTACTGCTGTTACGGCATATGCATAGCATGAATTACAATTATATGCTAAAAGTATCAATTAGTGCACTTGTGATAAATGTGTTTTCATTTAAATTTAAAATAATATCAGAATATGAGTATAAAAATCTTGGGAAAACTCAATTAAAATGAAATTGCTCATCTTTTCAAATGAAAGGATGGATAATTGTACAAGAAATTTTGAAGCTAACATTGTTGTTTAACTGCAGTTACACCTCCTTTCTCCCTCCAATCCCAATGGGATGGATATGATGAACCATCTGAGATTACATAAATCCAACCAGCACCATGGTAACGAAAAACATAACGATCCAATCTAGGAAGTGGTCCAGAGAACTGTAATCTAATTTGCTTTTAATTTAATCCACTAATCAATTTTCAGCATAACTCACGTCATATCTTGTGCGGTATTGCATCATGTTAACAATAATAGAAAATATTTGAAATAAGATGTTTCGTTGGAAGAATTCGTCCAGATTAAAAAACTTCCCAAACAATTCCATTTTCTTTCATATTTCCCTTAAGTCAATATTATCCTTCCTCAAAAGTATACAAAATATGCTGGATAGAAATAACCTAAAAGTCAAACTTAAAAAAATGACAAATCTGAAATTAAATTGAATTGAAATTTTAAAAAATTGCTTTATGCAAACCGCATCAAGTTCCTCATCATCCCAATCGGCAAATTTGGTGATTTCATATGTCGCAGTGCTATTTTCATTATTTAATTTCTCTATGAGCTGTACATTTTCTTGGAATATTTTCAGACGTTTTCGGTAGCTGATCGTATCATTGTCGAAATCACGAGGATATCTGTAAATTTACAAACTGAGAAAGGAACAACCGAATGCTTAATTTTTTCCTTTTTTTTTTGTTAATTAAAATTAAAAGGATATAATTAAATTAGAGTAAAAAAATAATCAAAAAATTTATAGAAGTAAAGATGTTAGCTTCTTTATACAAAACTGCTAAAAGTGATAAATGTTTTTTTCCCCTAAATATTTGACCATTATAGCAATAGAAATATAACGTACTTGATGAGAAACTTATCGTAAAGTTTCTTAATTTGTGAAGTACTATACATTGTTATATTGCAACAAGCATGTTGTAATCGTGTAAGCATAACTGTTAACACCAAAATGGACAACATCTGTAAGATGGAAAAGATGTTTGAAGTTCTTGCAGTTTGTACAGTACCAATCAACTTGACAGTTTCTTTTTATTATTAAGTAAATTAAATTGAAATGATTGAAAAGAAGGATGGATAGAAAAATGTGAGATAGTAAGCATACCGGTAGTAATTTCATTTCTTTGATCATAAAAACTAATTAAGGAAATCTTGCATAAACCGATGTTTGATGAAATGAAGAATAGAAAATTGTTGATAAATAATAAATGAATATTTGCAAAATTTTATAAAAAATCATTTATTGAATAATACAATTGTAATTGTTTTATGAAGAATTGAACGTTTAAAGATGGAAAAAAAAAGGTTTGCTTTGTTATGAAAGTTATTTGTAATTTTATAAATTTTATTTTTTCACCACTTCCGTCAATTAAGGATCTGAATGTCAAAAATAAATCAATATTCAAAGAATCAAACAACAACAAAATTTTTTTTTAAATGTGACAGATGAAATTTTCTAAAATTTTAACCAATTGTTTTAAGAATGCTGCTGCTTTTGCAGTTCTTTTTGGGAAACAAACAAGACAAATAATTTTTTTATTGCAAAAGCTATTTTGAATTTCATAAATTTATAAGTTTTTAAGTTTCATCAAACGAAGGATAGAAGTAGATAACGATGTTTTCACTTCTCTAAGGTATCGTATTCTTTGCAGCATCCATAGAATAGCCTATCGATTGCCTTGATGAGAAAAAAAACAAGGGATGGTAGAAGAAGGATAGAATTTTAATGAAGAAGATACCATCAAACAATTTCCTCTTTAGTGGTAAATTGGTCACCAATCATAAATCGTCAGAAAAGATTAGTGCAGATATCCATTTGGTGATATCGTAATCTTATCAATATCATTTTACTGATTTCGACAGAAGAAAAATTAGTTTTACTCTTAAAGTTGGTAGAAAATGAAATAATACAAGCAACAAGCACTCTTGCTCACTTTGAAAGGAAGGAAAACATGGATGTTAACTTAGGCATTCAAAGAAATGTTAAATAGAATTGAAACTGTTTCAAGTGCGACTGCTATTTGCAACTCCATAATTTTTCATGTAACAACAACTTTACAAAATAGAATAGATTTCTAGGACAATTTCTGGTTAGTCTAGACCATCGGAAAATTCCTCATATAGATCATGATACCTGGACCAGTACTAAATAGCTAAACATAAAATTCCTTGGAGAAAAAAAAAGCTCAAGATTTTGAGCGACCAAAATCGGTCATTGAAAGTCTTTCCGCAACCTAATACTCGGCTAGTTAGAAACATTTCCGTCCTTACTTCTTTGCAAAACCTACATATGTTTTACATTTCAAAACAAGCCGCGATAGCCATGATAAACCATTGTAACCCATAATAATCTAAGAATTTCATCCTTCCATAAACGATTGCTGGGTATTCCTTAACCATGGTGTGTTCAGATTGTTTGAATCAAATCAAAATGAAAAAAAAAACTAGAACATATTCCGGAAGAACACATTGAAATGTACTAAAGTTAGAATATTAAATCATGTATATTTCCTTTTCTGTCGATTATCGTGTTTAAAAAGAAAAAATTATCGTGCCTAAAAATTATCGTGCTTACAAAACTATCGTGCTTAAAGAGATTTATTCGTGCTTAACACAAAAATTCTGCTTAAAACAAAAATAATGTGGATAAATGCAGAACAAGCATAACGTAGCAAAATTTATCTCGTAGAAGTATCTAGACAATGAAGTGAAATGTTGCAAGCTATACAATGAAGCGAAATGCTGCAATTATACAATGATAGCAATCGTAAGTGACGAGGACATTTCTCTTAGAAATTTTAGGCTAAGCTTTGGCAACATTGGTATTTTATGGAATGCTTACAGAATTCTCAACCAGATCACACAAAACTGTGACTTAAAAAAGAAAATTGTTATTCGAAAATTTTGTAAAAGAATACGAATCTTTGAGAAAAAATGATCGGATAAACGCAGAACCTGTTCAGTAAATGCTACTAAAAACCTCAAAGTAATAGGCATCATGCATTAATTGAGAACATTGAAAAAATATATATTATATAGGGATATATACGAAAGAACAGAAAAAAACATTCAGAAAACTCTGAACAATAATGAACCACTAACAATGGGGTATTAACATGACAGCGTTAATATATACAAAAAACGGTTTTCTGAGAAATAGAAACAGCAGAGAAAATAAAGGATTAAAAACAACGGCATTGCATCAAGAAGCAGATAATATTTCTAGAGAAAGTGGTGGTCTTTTTTTTTTCTGGAGAAAGTAGTTCCCAGAACAGAAAGCTTGATGAAAAAAAAAAAAAACTTAATGAACAGAAAACTCTTATCTGGCATCCATATAGTACAATTCTGCGGTCCTTCAGAGCCTACAGAGCCTACAAACTATGCAAATTATTTCGCTTAGAATATTGCAGTGCTTTACTAATTCAAAGTTTCGAGGCAAGATTTGAGATTCTAAAATGAGGATCTGGAAAATCTGTGAGTTTACAAACAATATAACACAAAGGAAATGACTACAATATGCAATAATACTATCAGAAGGAGATAATATCAGTGCAGCACAGATTTAACATCCATAACCCGGAACTCGAAAAATTTGTTAAGAAATGCTAAAAATGAATGCCTTTTTCAATATGAATGGAATAATAATACCACTAATTAAGATAGTCAAGAATGACAAGATTACACTAACTTCATTTATTATGGAGCGTCAAAGTCTTCCTCTCATAACAAACAACCCGAGGCCTCTCTCACACAGAACAGAATATGTGTAAATTGTAATATATGCAATACCAGGGGGTATCGTAGAAAGAAAAAAGATTAACACAGCATATCAGCGATAAGTATCAACCTGAAAATTTCATGCCAAGGTTGATCTGACCGTCACTCCCGTCCACCATACTTTCAGCATTCAGAGCACTAAAGCTACCATTCCTTTCAGACGACTTTTGCAAAATATCAGACGTTCCATCGCCGTTCTCAGCAATTCTGGGACTGGTCAAATAATCATCATCAACATTTGAATGGTCGAAATGAGATAAACGATCAACCACAATTCGCAATTCTTAAACTGATTATTATTCATTAAAATAATATGTAGACTTTGTTCTAGCTTCTACAAAATCAAAACATATTTCGTATCAAATTGTTCGTCATTATTTCAGGGAATTTTACTATTCGAGGTTCAGTAAGTTGAAAAGAACAAATGGATCTCACAAGTAAAATAGTTCGAAAAGCACACGAACCTTTTTCCCATTCATTTTCCTCTTCTGGCAAATTAATTAAAACATCACCGTTCTCGGGTAGCAACTGAAGTGCTTTTTCCGGAGGAATTGTTCTGCAACACGCTGTTATAAACAAAAAAACAACAGAAAGAAGTTTGCAAAAATTTTTGGCAATTTCATTTAAACTAACATTGGCACGAATCCACCAGATATTTTATCCATAGATGATTTAATTTTTTCCGCAATTTTGGTATATCCAAACGACAAAGCATCATCATAAGCGGTCCTATTCCATCTACAATAAAATGATTCGTTATTAGTTTTCCCATCGACATCCCATGTTTCCAAATAGCAAAAGTCTAGTGAAGTTTTGTTACAACTTGTAAGACATATTTTGTGTTATAATGACGAATAACTTGCCGCAAGACCATTTGCAAGCAAAAAGTGGTGGTCTCTTGATCTATCACCTTTGATTTCATAAAGTATAATAATATAACATAAATCACATATAATAATATAAATTAGTATAATAATATACTTTATGAAATCAAACGTTTAAATACTTTTTAAAAGACGCAACTCAATAGGACGAGTGATCCCTTCCATACCAGAGTACTTAGATATAAACGTTGAACTTATCCAAGAAATTAATACTTTCATCATTTTGTGCCACTTGGCATCTTATTAAGAAAATGATTCGATAATTCAAGAAGGAAGATTTATACTACCAACTACTCATCATACCAACAGAATATACAGCAAGCCTAATTTTCCCTATAAAATCAGTATAAATTAGGTACCATTTCCTGAAGAAATTAACACTTAAGTCTAAGCATTTTCAAATATCTTTACAACTAACCTATCTCTCACAAGTGGATTAACATGAGCAATGTCGAGAAAGAAATCCACCATTAACGATTGTCCTTCTGAAGCAGCTAGATGTAGTGGTGTGCGACCATCATAGTCTGACATATTCAAGTCAATGCCACCCAAAAACATTCTGAAAATTTCAATTACAAATCGTGCTGCTCATTCTTCCAAGGTAAACTAACAAAAAGTGTTATGTTAATATAAGGTCAAATTTTTCTTCAAGTTATAATTCAAAAATCATCGAGATCATTTTCTAACTCATTTAGTGAAAATTTGTTGTTATACCTAGGACTCTAGAAAAAAAGCATGTGTGCAAGTCATCAATGCTATATTTATGCTGCCAGCTTTGAGACTGTTTTATTTCATCCGGCCATACAAGATAGCATTTTCTTATCTTCATTAAAATTTTTTATGGAATGAGTACCTTCGAACATCATCAATGTTGCCTTTCTTAGTTGCAAACATCATTTCAAGGATTAATTCGGATTCATTTGGAATGCCACGCTTTCGAGGATCTATTTTCTTGGTATCCGCATGCAATAAACTGTCGTAATTGTGAAAATTGAAAGTTTCGATCATTTTCTGGAAAATTCTAATAACTGGCAGGAATATTCTATTTTTTTCGAAAATTCCTTAGTAGTAATTGAACAAACCTCCTCAGTAAATAAATGATGAAAAACATCTACCTTACAGAAGCTTACACCACGTACACTATTACTCATTTTATCCAAAGGCGGCGACCAAATACAAATCCCCATCAAATTTGGTACCACAACAACCATTGCTCCAGAGACACCAGATTTTGCAGGTAAGCCAACCTAAACTGTTGGAATTTACTACAAAGTGCTGCACAGTAATTTACATATGTGCCAGATGATTCATTTCATAAACAAAAGCATTTCAAGTTACCTGAAATGCGAACTGACCGCTGTAATCGTACATCCCACATGAATACATCAATGAAAGAACATCGCGACATGGCCGAGCACTAATGCATATTTCGTTGGTAAGTGGACAAACACCTAAAGTGGAAATCTCCATCCAATCCGTGAACGACAATTTGGAAATAATGCACAGTAGAACATATTTTTTGAAATTTATTTCTCAGAAATCTGATCTACATTATCCTATACTTGGTCGATATTTCCTATCTTAAAAGAGAAACAAATTTCAAACATCACGTCTACCTCCATTAGCCAAAGTTGCTGCCATTACCGCAGCACTTTCACATGTTGTTTCCAATGAACACAACTGGAAATAGAAATCAAGCTCATCCCGGAGCGATACTGAACCAGGAAAGCAATTATTTTCTTTCATGTAGTAAGAAAGCGCATAATTACGATCTGCGGTATCGCGTTCAGATAAGAAGCTAAAAAATATCTCATCTAACAAGAAAGTTCCTTTGGATCTGAGGAGAAGCACCAAGGTTTCCTTTTACATTAGCATAGTGAAAGCATATTTTAAAGTTCCTAGAGAGTAAAAGTTTATTATGAAAAATAAAAAACAAGTCCAAGTAATGCAAAATATTATCAAAACAACATAAATAACATAAAACTTACGTTGCATTATTAAATCCTATGTAACCACCTCCTGCTAGTTTTCTGTATTGGGTTAGTACCTGAAAATATTCTGACTATAGTTTAACGGATTTCACTTCTGGTGAGTTCTGCCTACTGACATAGAAGTTGTATAAAACTACGAATGAGATTTAATCATTAAATTATATTACTAACCCAAAGCTGATTAACGGAGTATGATAGTCATGGGTAAACTTACAAAATCATAACGATCAGCCATTTCATGTCCCATTTTCAGTAGTGACGTGACAATAATTGCTCCAGCATTTATGAAAGGATTATGTGGTTTACCTGTTAAACAACTTACATAACTTAAGATTTTGTTACTTCAGTATGAATCAATAAAATAGTATGAGTTATCCTGTCAAGAAGATGTTACCGTGAATTACAAGAAATTCTATGTTTTAATCCTGAATTAGCCTTGCGAGATGAACAATGAAAAAATGCGAAATCTACAATAGCAGAAGAACGTAACTTAACATTTCATTAAAAGATACATTTTTTGCTTGGTAACTTCAAGAAAATTGGAGTACCTCAGGTAATACAAAGGCTTACCATTGCAATCCAGACATATTTCATTGAATAATCGCCCGGATGGTTCATGCCCGACATAATTGTGGACAAAATCTGCTCCCAAATCAGACGCGACTATTGCATAATTGAAAGCTAGAAAAAGAATTTCTCAACAGAGAACTGGCACTATGGTATGACAATAATTAATCAAATTGTCTTTAGAGCTGTAGAAAATGAATGGCTGTGAAACTAAGCTCTTAAATTTCAACTCATTTATCGTATTACCCTTTGATATAGACTGAAAACAAAACGGTACACGTGCATCACCGTAACTGACACGTTGTCCATCAATTGTACATATCGAAAGACCCCATTTCTTCGGATCCACTCTAGCTAACTGAGGGATATAATCTGCTACTCTGCCATCATGAATACTCGCGCACTAAAATTAATTTGCCAGAAATGCAAAGATGAAAGGCACCAATAAGTATTAAGCACAAATTTTTATGAATTATGAATATCCTATTATGAATGAAATCGTCTATTCTCGGAGGTTTCAAAGCAGGAAGTAATTGGTCAGAAGCGCATAATCCTTTTCGCGGAGAACCGCAAAGCTGTTTCAGGAAGGAGACTTTGACAGTAACAAGGCGGAAGTTGACTTCACAATTTCACAATAAAGTAAAAAAAAGAAATGACCCAGATATAGAAAAACTACTTCATCAAAAATTTCCTTGATCTTAGCAGTAAATTCGCCCCAACAAGGAATAATCAAATCGTTGCGAAGTGTCTGGGCAATTAAATTGATGCTTGGTCGAATACATCTGCAATATTTGAGTTTTATACCATATTCCTGGACCGAATTGTTATAAAGCATTTAACTTTAAAAAAAAAAAGTGGAATCACTCAAGTTCGCAAACTGCAAGAGTTGTTGAACAAAAAACAGAACTTCCTTATTCCTCTGACGATTTTTTCAGAGCCAAGAAAGATTAACATAAAAATATTGTCTTTAATCTATAAATTAATTAGCTACCAACTCTTTGAACTGTTCCTTGCTTAACAAGCAGTGTCTGGTATCACAGTCATCCTCGATCTGCAGTTCATATTCACGCATTTTTTCAATCGTATGTTTCAATCGTGGATCGTCTTCACGGATGCCAAATGATCGCAATACCTGCAAGCTATTCATTGCTTAAAAACCTCGAAAAGTGGAAGGAACTAATAACTGATAAAATTAGAAAGGGTATTTTTCCGTATCAAGGTATTCTTTCCAAGCATGGAAGTTCCTACTAAGAAACAACAATATCTTACAGAAAGTAGTTTCCCCAAAGAAGCTTCTCCGGGTTTTTTGGAACATTTGAAGAGATCGTACGTGAGATCTTCCTGCGATGGGTGTGAAAGCTGATAAACATGTTTCAAACCCTTAGCGGTATCATTCAGCAGTCGAGTAATCGATGATTTCCGGTTGTTTTTCAAGATCTTGCTTACATTATCAACTGTAATGAGAAGCAATCTAACAAAAATATAACAAGCATATTGAGAAAAAAATATCAAACGAAGAAAGGGCGATCGAGCACTGAGAATAAATTCCAAACCAGTCAACAATTTTAAGAACTGATCAAAGTACAAAACACACCATGACTAAAGGGTTCACAATAGCAAACAAGTTGGAAAAAAAACAAACCTGAACAATCATTCCGCAGTTCGATAAGGAATGCAATTTTAAAAAAATAAGAAATATGGATAAGAAAGAACAACAACAACAACATCATGCCGCACTACAAATTTGTTATTACCTGCAGCAGAGGCGCACTTGTACTCGTCGCTCTCCATTGCTTCAAAATTTTTACGATGTTGATCTTCGGTTAACCGATACTGAAATCATTTCGCATCTCAAAATTCGATAGGCTACCGTGATATATCTGCAGGATCTTTTTTGTGCATTTTCAAAATTGGTCGGATACATCAAGTAATCCGATAGCTTTTCAAACACATCTGTACACCCAAGCAATCCCTCCTTCTAGAATACAACTTACAAAAAAGCAATATGCCAGCTTCCGGAATGCACCGACACATCTGAGCAACCTGGCTGCTCCCGGAACACACCTACTCATTCAGGAAATACGCCAACCCGTGGAACATAGCACCACACAACCAGTGCACGAACTTCTGGAACTGATGCCGGAGCAAATGCTTAAATTTCGATCAGTCGGCACACGAACCTCTATGAGTACGAGTACGAGTTTCGACAATGTCCCGTGTTTTTTTAAAGTTTGTTGTTAATTTTCGTCTGTGAAGCTTACAAGCCTTTTTCCGGGATTGACTATTCAGGTACAATTCGGAGTTAACTGGAATTAGAGTGGTCGAAGAAACGAAATGAATGAGTCAACAATGGGCATAAAAAGGAACTGCTGGATTAAAGTGTCGATTTAAAAATGCTTAATTAATGGAAAAGTTTCCGAATTTTTCAGGGGTTTCTTGAAAAAATTCGAAACAAACTAAAATTCTGAGCTATTTAAAACAAAAAAAAAACTGGAGAAGTAGCTATTTTTGTGTACTTTTCCCCTCTAACCATCCTCCTGGCAAATCTCTATCCTTTCTCCTTCTCAAATCTATGCTGTAGTCAACTGTTTTCCGAATCTCCCGTTCTTTGCATAAAAAGTTTTAAACTAGCTAACCTTAGCTCGTAGCGCATTGATCGATGTTCCGCTGTACATTTCGCTTGAGATCAGATCGCACCACTACTATTCTGTTTAGTGATCCTTTATTCTTTATCTTCTTATATACGATTCGTTGTTCTTTCTCCCGAAAGACTAAAGTTTCATTGGAATTTGAATTTATTTTATCGTATGATCAGCAAAAATTTTCCAAAAAAAATTTTATTTCACTTAAGTACTATGAGACAAATGGTGAAATAATGGAGGAAGAATGTACTTACACGCACACAATCGATTAAAGCTATGGTGCAAGTCCCAGAGTGCTTTTTACTTCTCTCTTTTTATTTCCTATATGGGAAAACGATATTTCACGGTGGATTTCAGGACATTTCGTAAAATATGATTAAACGCCATCTCGGATTTTCTGGACACAATAATCTGATAAGTCGGACCTGATATGATCACTGTTGGTTATGATTCATAATGAGGACCCAATGTGACAAACTATGAGTCATAGGACAGGTTCACAGTAATGGAATTTATCAACAAATTCCTATTTCTATTTCATCCTGCTCAATTATGATTATTGGAAGTAGAAGAAATTTGTAGGAAGATGGCCTGATTTCTTGAACAAAGCAACACTGCTTGGTGGCAATGTTATTGGAAGAGAATGAAAATTCCTCATCAACTCACAAATGAAAGATTGGAAGAAAAGTATTGGAATTCTTATAAAAACTTATTGTTAATGAGCTAACAGATTGTTAGCATGACTCATCGAATGATAACTCAATATTTGACAGAATCTCGAAGTTATCGATTGCGGGTTCATTAAAGGACCTCTTCCTATGCAATCTTATGCACGGAGTAAAATGCGGAATGAAATCAAGTCTAAAAATAGAATTAATCGGTGTTTAGATTGCATACCATACATTTCTTTCTCTTGTATCGCATTACTAAGGTTAGAAATAAGACGAAATAGAAATGACAATTTTTCCATTATCATGGCGCTAACTCAGCAAACAGAATCTATGGACTGTAATTACATGTCAATATGTAAATTTTCGTTTAATCATATTTGAAAAGTGATAATCGGTGAGAAGTCGTGTATGCTAACTTTTCGGTGAAAAAGCTGAAGGGAAAAATCAATATTCCGGAAATATCGCACCGGAGCTCACTGACGGAAGCATTGCCCATAGTGACTATATCACATTTCTGTGCATAGTGTATTTGTTGAGCAGTGATCAATGGATGATAAAAGTGAATCATAAAAGACGGAAGAAATTTCAAACTTTAATGAAATCCATTTCGTACCAGATATAAAAATAAAAAAACGTTAGCTGTTTTCGGAAAGTCCTTTGGCTTAAAGCTGAAGGTTATTGCGTGAAGGTCGAAGACCTCGGAATTTTTTATGATAAATAATTACTCAGACCTGAAATTGAATCAGGACATTTTAATATAACTCTTATAGTCATAAATATAGAATGGTTATGACAGATACATACAAATTAATTAAACTCTTGTTTGGTTACCTAATCGATATACAAAAATCATAAATTTGATTAATGAATCCTCTCTGCTTCGTCTTTCATTTCATCAGAAAATATGAAAACTGTTAAATTCCATTTACATCTTAAATACAGCCAGATTTAGTCGTCAAAGAATCCAAGGTGCTTGCTAAGTCGAAAAAAAAAATAAAGAGAGAGAGAGAAAAAGAGGGAGATCGTTTAATTATTGATGTTTCATTGCAGGAGGACAAGAAAGGACGACTAGCTAAGGAAAGGTGACAAAATGAAGGAGTGAAAAATCTTGGACAGTTGTAGAGAAAAAATAGCTTGGAATGATGTCTCGATGTGACACATATTGGAGCGAAAGTTTTGACAAAATCGAAATATTTCATAAGTTTGACTGCTTCATTGCTTCATCAGTATTCTTATTCCGACTAATTGCCAAATTGGCAATATAATATTTAATATTCAATGCAACTTATTCGAAAATCCGAATTTTTTTCCACTTTACAGGAATATTATTGACATTATTCACGTATGTTACATATCAGTAAACTTTGCATTGATACAAGAAATAAATGAGAGATAAAAAGATGAACAAATATAGAAATATAAAAGATGTCATCTGAATCTCGCTTCTTCTCATTTTCACCAGGACGATAAAAATCAGTTCAATTCATCCTGTTATCATTGCAAGATGACAATGAAGATAAAAGTTGCTTATCGAAAAGTTACTCTATTTTCGAATGAATATTGCCTTCTTGTTTGAGTTGTTTAACTAATTCATAACCGAATATCATTTAATGACAATATCTCAACACAGATTCTCTTCTTGTTTTTTAATATTACATTTAAATGTTCACTTCAAAATATTCGTAGTTTGAAAGTGAAGCAACACGGGGAGTGTAACAGAAAGCAAAAGATCTGAAGAAAGATTGTTGAGGAGGAAACAATTAATTTTAGGTAATCAATGTAATATAAGAAGCTACACAAGTCGCTTACTACTTGGACGTTGTGAGTACTAAAAATTAGGCTTAATAGGATGGATTGATTTGAATAAGATTGCACCTGATAATTTACATTAAAAATTCCGTTTGATGAGCAAATGGATATCTAAATGCGCAAAAGGCTTGATCTAGAATACTTCTATAATTAACTATAACCTGCGCGGTATGGATTAATATTGCGCATGCCAAATTGGCAGGTCCTCTCATGCTGCTGGATGTGTTTTTTGGAAAAAAGGGTTACAGAAATTTTTAAAAAGTATCCATTGATAATGCTGTTTTATATGATCGTTTCAAAGTTCTTTCATAAAATTTCGTTAAAAATTTAAGTTTATAAAATAACTAACTTTTCAATCTTATTCTTAGTCTAGTAGTTTCCAACCAGTGGTCCACGAGAACAAAAATATAGTCTGCGGAGGCGTCGACTCCTCTTTTTTTATTTAATACGTTGAAGCTTTCGATTAAATTTATTCTTAAATTGGCGAAATTTGTTATTTTCCAACTTTGTGGTCCCAGCTACAGACAGAGATGTCAAGATGGCCACTGGTCAAGAAAAGGTTCGGAAATGCTGTAAATGGTTGATGGGATGAAAACAGTCATAATGCACCGCTAATGCGTGATTAATTTTATGAAATAAAAGTGGGAGTTGGTTTTATTTTTGATTTTGCAGATTTTAGCTGAGTCTGTTTTGTTTAAGACTGTTCCGGAACTGTTTCTTTCAAGTTTCAAGGAGGGAAAGTAAGGTTAACAGAGTGTTGTAGAGGGCGAACGTGATGAGACACAGTTATAGATTTGCTTATTTTGTCATTTTGTCATTAGGATATGTGCGAAAATTTTTTGGGAATTCACAAAATTGTATGGTAATTGTAACAGTGATTGAAAGTTCAAGAAGAATGATAGCATGAACAGATGATAATAGAGGTTAATGGAAGGAAATAGACTGTGTGCAGGGAGACGACCGAAATTGTCAGGAATAATTAGTAGTTTTGCAGTATTTTTCTTTTTTTTCTTGTTTTTCATTGCAGAATGACTTCTTTATACAGCATCAAAGGAATCGCTGTATTGGATCAAGATGGTAATCGTATCCTTGCCAAGGTATGCTGAGTTGATATACTTAAACTTTATTTAGCTGAACACGACACTGTTAGCTGTTTAGTGCCTTTGTTTAACCAAGCAGGTTTTTTGTGAAGTGCTGCTATTTTCGACTTTTATCTTTTTCATTCTTGTCTATGTCTTTAATACAAAGTAATTTAGGTAGAGAAAGTATCGGAAGGTTCGCCACCTGTGAGGTTCACATTAATTTTATAAACATATTTGACAAATATTGGAGTTATTTTTTCAGTATTACGATGACAAAGTATTCCCGATTGCAAAGGAGCAAAAAGCGTTCGAGAAAAGCTTATTCCAGAAAACTTGCAAAGCAAATGGTAAAATTTCGATCATGGAGTTGCTGTTGTTTTTCTGTTTCTGTACAGTTGGTGTCAGGGATTCCGTTTAGGAAATTGAACTTACGGCCTTGTGTTTTCACAACTGATGGACTGTCTGTTTGAATGGACAATCGCTTCAGGACTTGTCAAGATTTCACACTTAATTTGTTATTTTTTGAGAAAATTCTTGCATCATTATTCGTAGTTTTTCTCATCCATTTTGCAGCCGAAATAATTTTACTGGATGGAATGATTTGCGTATATCGGAGCAATGTTGACCTATTTTTCTATGTTATGGGTGGTGCAGATGAAAACGAATTGATCCTTGTCTCGGCTCTCAATTGCCTATACGACTCGATCTCGTTAGTACTACGAAAAAATGTAGAGAAGAAAGCACTTATCGATGATATGGATATTGCTATGTTGATCATCGATGAAATTTGTGATAATGGGTTTGTGGATTGGTTCTTCTTACTTTTTTCCCTATAGTTTTTGAGCAGATTGGTTCTGTTGTACAGGTACCAAAAATGGAAGTAAATATTTCTATCACTTCGAAGGCTTGTGTGAACTGTACAAATACGGAAAGATACGTTGCTCCAGTCAAACCTTGTGTATCTTTTAAGAATTTGCTGTACTAGAAATAGATAGTGCTCCATTTAAAAATGCGCTTGTAAGCATTTTGCAATAACTGGAGCTTCAGAATCGTTTCATACGAAGTCTTAATGTTTATATCGGGAAAAAATTGGAGAAAGGGATTTGTAGATTTTTGCTTATATTTACGATTGACACGGGATGATGTGCAGATAACTCTATCTACCTTTTGAAACAAATATTGGATAGTCTTAAGTCAGTCCAGGTAGTTTTTGCTTTGTTTAATATTTAATAAACATGTGAGAGTAGACAAACCTTACATTTCATTACTCAGTGATCGTTTTGGGACACCAGCCAACCATTTGAAATCAAAGCTATTAAACAAGTATAGATTCAGTAAGTTTAGTTAGTCATAGTCTTATATCTCTTGTACTTGCAGTGTATTAATGGAAACGGAACCACAGGCTGTTGTAAGTCGTTGTGCTTTACGAACCGATGAACTAACATTTGGTGATCAAAGCATCTCGCAAGTGGGAATGTCGGTACGCATGTCTTAAAAAAGTCTTTACCACAGCGCTCATTGTTTTGTTATGACTCATGACAAATGCATGCTGTAATGTCAAGAAGTATTTATGATATAAATAGTTCTTTATCTGAAAAGAGACTCAAATCAAACGACTGATTAAACAACTCGAAGAAATCGTTTGTCATAATTTTGCGTCGCATCAGTTCATTTTTAATTGTTAGAAGGGGTTTTTCTCCTGATAGCATAAGTGTCTCGGTTGATTTTAACGAGTTACACTCGTTAATGGAAGCTCTGAAAGTTGTAGTTTTTAGAGGCTGAATTAAATGGTGCGTTGGATAAAGCGGTTTCCCTCCCACATAGAAATAGTTCTGTGAATTTATTTTTGGTTTAAATCGGCATCATCTTCGTGTTTCCTCCTTGTGCTCACCGAGATGCATATGTTGATAGAGCTTCAGTTAGCGTTATTTTTTTCTCTGTTCGTTGTTACTTTTTTTTCTGTTCATTGTTTTCACTTTTTTTTTCTGTTCACTTTTTTTAACTGATGCACAATTTCGTGTCTCTTCTTTTTCACATTGACTGACAAACCTAGCATTTCAATGAGTAATTTAGTTTATCCATTTAAATTAGGAAAATAATAATTGGTGAAACTTGTCATTCTGATTTTCACTGAAGATTTTCATAGACCCTTTCTTTAGTCTCTGCTTTTGATTGGAAGTTAGAGCAACCTGTATCATCTGAATTTAGTTCACCATTTTTACCATTTTTACCTTGTGTATGAAATTGGAAGAGCTTAGGATTTGGCCTATGTTTCGTTATGTTGGACGCTTATCACATTCAGTACACAGATCATGTTGGAAATGAGACGTCTACCAAGTTGAGGTATTATGGATAGGAAGTTAAGCGATTTCAGAATCGATGTGCTGGTTGCATGCTTATGTTGCAAGTTCTTGTAGGTGCTTGCAGTGCTAATAAAATAGAATTAAAATGATATCACTTTTTTTGCAATTTGTTAAGCTTTCATCGATGGGGCTCAGTGAAATTCTATAATCTTGAAGTTGCAAGAGTTAGCTTTGTTGGGCTTATGGGCCTTATACCTATCTAACAGAATTGTTGTTCCTTGCTACTCTTAAATTCTGCCGAAAAAAATTTGGGTATAGACTATGTCAAACGATCATAACATCGCATTTATTATTTTATTCCTTTCATATTTTAAAATAGGGTCGGTTCTGTTAATGTCGCTTATGTTACTCATTGTCGATAATCCCATGCATGTGGTCAGTCATACTGTGCAATCATTACTTGAGATAAACCTACAAAAATTCGGTCTTAAATGGGCAGCATTTGTATTCTATCTAACATGGGAGTGGGTTTCGAATCGCTACAGTTAATGCGCAAAATTTTTCAGTTAATCGGTTCGGCAAAGGAGCAGCTGAAATGGTCACTTTTGAAGTAATAAGCAAGGAAAGACGAATTTTGAAGTGTCTATATAATTATTGATGACGCTGAAGTTACTCACACATACACGGTACATATGTATCTATGGTGATGGGTTATTTTCCTTGTTAATTCTGTTTCTTTCCCGACTTAATGTTTTAATTGTGATCCTTTATTATCGGAAATCAAGCGGAGATATCTTATTCTTATTTGATTCCGGAAAAACCCAGTTATTTTTAATTCTCATTTAGGTAAGGATTGATGAATATTTACGACGAAAAGCTTACTTTATGAATTTATTCTGTCCAGATGTGGGGGGAGGCAGGAGAAAAACTTTAACCGGAGCAACACTGTAAGATTCATTATTTATTCTTTTTTCTTGGGTGTGTCAAGAATTTGTTTTTTTTAAATGAAATTTGAAATTATCAATTACAGAGTATCCATTTGAATTGTTTGTGCTCTGATATCGTTCTGTTGTAAAAAGTGGGTAGTTCAAACTGTTCGAGTTCATTTTTCACTTCGGCTTTACTGAATATTATTCCTACGTGCCTTCCCACTGTTTTTTACAGACGATTTTTTTGAAATTTTCATTTTTTTAAAAAAGTAATTGTTCGTCCTTCGATGTACTGATGTTATCATTACAAAGGCGTGTTCGTACGCCAGCACAACCATTTCACGCTAGTTCCCAGGTGCATCTTTTTCGCTGAGCTAAACTATTTAGGCTTGTCTGTCTTAAACCGCCCTCATCCAGCAGTGATGATTCATTTAGCATCACATCATTTTTGTTGATTTATTTTCAGTAAATTCTAAAAATTTCATTACCTTTGAAATGTCTTTACAAGCATGATAGCTAAGAAAAATTTAAGATTTGTTGTATTGTGTACGAATGATAAATACTAATTATTTTTTTATTGAATTATCTGTTTGATTGTCCTCAATGAAGAGTAAATATAAACACTTCAACTTGGTCAGTTTACTATTTTTAGTTCCTTTTCACATCGGGAAAGTGTGCAAATAAAATAGTCACGGACTTATCTTTCTTAATGGTATTATGGGAATTTCCGGATAACGTTTGGTTCATCCGGAACTTATCTGGGAGATTTTTCTTCGTACTGATTCGGAAAGTAGTCATTTTTACGATGCAGCTGTAAGATGAAGAAAAAAAGGAGAGGATGAGTATTTCCAAATAATTTTGAGTGAAATCGGTGGAGGTCGGTCCATTGTCCCTATATTTTGGTATCTTTTACAGAAGGAAGACAGACGTAGAAAGCATCAAATAAACTTAACATCAAAGATGAAAATATCCGGTATCCCGCTGGAATTCTAATTTGTTTTTTTTTTTTTTCAGTTACACAATCAGGAATTTGCATAGGATGCCTTCGCTGCATCGAAGTGCCCGTCCTATTGGTCGATTATCAGCTAAGATGCCCGTTAGACGAACCAAGAGAGCAAAGGTACACTTTATTCGATTTGTGGCATGCAAATGGTATAAATCTTTTCTGTGGAGGTTATTGTCATCATTTATATTTAATTTCTATTTCATCATCGTTGAATTCATGATCATGAAGTAAATGTGAATAATAATCAGAAATATCGGCAATAGTCACAAGCTTAAGAGAACTTTTCATAGCGGCATATATGTGCAGATAACTTTTTTAAATGTAAATAATATTTTAATGGGAAGAAAGTTCAGTCTCTGGACTATTCTGTTTTTATTAATCAATCTTGCTTGGTTTTGTATTTTTATGAAGCAATGGATTAAACATTACTTTTTTTGTTTCGTAAATGTAGAAGAAAACTGGATTTAAATTTTATTGGATCGAGGAAAGTGAGAAAAAAATGCTGAATATTAAGGATACGTAGAGTTGAGCATTAAAGATGCCAGTAAGCCAGGATTTTTTGGCGGAGTTTCTAGTTTTTATTGGATTTTTGGGATTACATCTCGATGAAAACATGTTGAACACATTTTCTAAATTAAGTTTATTCTTAATAAAATAATCGTTGTATGTAGAGGGTTCTTGTCATCGATTCGGAATTTTTGAATAATTTAGGCTGTAATGTGTTCCCTGAATTTAACACTTTCCTCTTAATCAGTATTTGTGTTTCGAAATTTACTTTCTTATACGATGTATATGTTCCCAGCAGTCATCCCAACATAACATCCGTAGTTCGTTATTCTCATCCCATGGTTTCGGATCCTATTCTAGTTCATGTAGTGCTTCAAAGATTCAGCTACTTTTTTGACTTAATCTTTCTACTTTCAAAATTCAATCATTTTCTGCTGTATAATACTTCCAAAATTCTATTATTTCTGAAGGTACACTTATTTTTGGGAGTTCGGCATCTGGACTTGATGTAGTGTGTGTCATTTTTGCAGTTTTATAACTTTCTAGTTTGTAGCTTCCAGAAATCAAGCATCTTCGGAATAGTGTGTTTCTGAAATTTATGTCCTAATAGTCTTGTATTCAATAAAAATTGTTAAAAAGAATTACTATTATGCAGAATATGGGAGGAGTGAGATGTCGCTTCCGTGGCGCAATCGGTTAGCGCGTTCGGCTGTTAACCGAAAGGTTGGTGGTTCAAGCCCACCCGGGAGCGGTGGTTTTACAAACTCTTTGAGTGATATGGACAACTTTTGTTTGCTTCTCTCCCTCGTCTTCTACATCACGTCATTACCGTTGTGCATAATTTAATCTATCTGACTTCTGTTTAATTGATTCCTTCTGAATGTAAACGAATTATTATGCTCAAATTTATAAGTATTAGGAAGTTTGTGGGTGAGCTCTCACAAGTGTAACCAATAAAATATGGGACTTTTAAGTCCAAGATGTATTTATTAAGTAGTGACTGGATATATTTGAAATTATTTTTTAGAAAAAGAGAAATATTAAAAAACGAAATAATTCATCGGTGATGAAGGAAACATCAGTACTGGAGGAAGAAGAGGAAAAAGGTACTGAGACTGAGTTAACGGAAGAAGAGGAAGAACAAAACGGAAGTTTGTCGGAATATGAGGATGAACTAGATGGATTATTGAGGCATCGAACGGTGATCGACAATTACTTTAATCAAGGAAGATTAAAGTCTGGTCATAGAAGTGATCATGCGCGGCGAAAAAAGTGATTTTTATACTTTTTCCTGCTTTTGAAGTTCGATATAATCTAAGCATATATTGTTTTTAATGAGTTTTCTTCAATTTGTCCTTAATTTCCATCAAATGAATTGAAATTCAGATAAGTTGAGAATTAGAAGAGTCTATGTTGTAATGTTGATACTTCACGACAGCTTTTCTTTGTGTTACTTGTCGAACTAGACATATGCTTGTTCTTTTGATCATCTTGATCTCAAACGCGTCTTTGTATAATTACAGAGCATCTTTTTAATTCAAACTCTCATAAGAAAAACGAGGATATAGACATTCCTTCATTATTTTGTCATGTCTATAAATATACATAGTTTAGCGTATTTTTGCAAAAGTCCATCTTTTTTAAATGTCACCCTACATTTTTATCATCGTTGTATTTGTTATTTGATCAAAGGTGGAATTTTTTTCATGAAACATCCAAGTATTTGCTTTCTTTTTATAGACGAAGACAGGGTGAGGAAGATAACGGGGACGATAATCGTTGCAATACAGTTGAATGCGATTTGCGATTACTTTCAGATTGGTTTGAAGTAAGTATTCGAATTTTAGTCTACGACGAATTTTTTCAGAAAAGCATATTATTAGAACAAGAAAAATCTGATATGCATTAGGTTTAATGTAATTTTTTGAAAGTTCTTGTTAAAAAAAATTTTTTTACGGGATTCAATCTTGCAACAAATTTTATTGGCAGGTGACAAAAATGATTTTAGTGGGGAATAATCAAAGAGCGAAAAAAAAGAGCCATATCAATTTTTTTGTAGAAATGTGATGATCATCTTCCACGTGCTGTTGTTCGAGAATGTACTAACGCAGAGCGTTTGTTTCCCCGTTGGTTAACGTATTTGGCGGCTGGTTTTAATCTAATTGTAAGCTCAAACTGTTGTATTTTGTATACCTATTTCTTTTATTTTGCTATCTTACCATGAACATATTCTAACTTTATTTGATTCTTCCAGAGCAGAATCTCCGAATATAATCAGACTATAGAGATTTTTTGTCGTCATGCATAATATTTAGTAAATCACGACTTTAATCCATAAATGAATTGCTGTGCTCTCCAAGCTTTCACTTGTTTTAATGGAAACCACCGATTTGATTGAATATAGATGAAGTTTGCTCGCTGTTTAACCTCAAATTGAGAGATAGAAATATTGCAATATTTGATGATATAAGTTCATCGACATTGCTGGTTGACTTGCAGTACTGATAACGAAACTGGGATGGATTGTATTTTTATTATTGTTGGCTCCCTTAGCCAATTTCTTTTTGTCTATCCTTTCGCGTATTTGTAATGAAATTATTGTTAATTTTAGATCTTTGGGCTGGGTTCGAAGCGAAAGCTTGTCCAAAGTTTTTGTGAAAAACAATTGCAAGATTACACATATATTGTCGTTGATGGTTTTCAACCAACGGTTAACTCACACATTATATTTCAGGCAAACATTTATTTAAATATTTTATCTCTAAGTTATCCAAATATTTTTGCTGTGTCGAAAGAAATGTCATTCACAAGTAATGAGTAATTGAGATATAACTTTTACCAACAGGTGCCACTAAGTAGTAAGGTAGCATCATTCACTAATTAATATTATTGTTTGCTGATTGCCTGACATTGTTTTTCATTTTCAAAATTCTTTTTGTTTCCAAATCATTTTCGTTTTTTTTGTTTTTTTCTTTCGAAACATATTCTATGAAACCGGTATAATTAATTTAATGATATGCTGGAAAAATAACAACTTATGGTCAAAAGAAAAAAACGATTTTACGGTTTTACAGTGTTTGGAGAAAAATCTATCATTGAAAGTGGTTATTATGAGTAAAAATCAGCTGGAGTATGCAAATGCCGTTGGTCGTGCTATAGATAACAGAAATGAAGATGTTGTTCTTGTACTGCATAATATTGATGGACCGGGATTGAGGTTTTTCCATATTCATTACATTGTTTACCATGATTTAAGTAATGAATTGGAAGATGAAAACTATTCTTCTTTTTCCAAACTACTTTTGCTTTCAAGCATGATCAAATTGCAGGACAACACTTGAACAATGGGCTCTAGCCGAATTTGCAAAAGCTAAACATACACATATCATTGCTACCGTTGATCATGTCAATAAAAGCTTGCTGTGGACTCAAGTCTGTTTTAGTTTTTATTATTTTTGATTGTTTATTTTATGCCTTACTTTACTCCAATACTTTCTTATCATGTTTATTACCTTTTTGCCAAAGTATTTAAGCTTATAAAATTATATGAACAAAAGGGAATTTTCCATGTGTTTCAGAAATTATTGAATGCATTTAATTTTCTCTTCATCAATGTAAATACCATGCAAGCGTATAAAGCCGAAGTATTTGCTGGCTATTCGAAACTATTAGGATTGAATCCGAAAGGTTCAGGATATACACATACGTTTGCATCGTTGGATGTGGTCTGGATGTCGTTAACAAATAATTCCCGCTCACTACTTCAGCTTATCACTAATCATTATTATCGTAAGAAAAAAGCAGTGGAATTTTTCGAGCTTTTTCGTTTGGCCAGGTAATTTCTCTTTTTTCTAGAAAAATTAAGTTGTTAATGATGACTGAATGCAAGAGAAAAAGATAGCATGTTCCAAAATGGATTAGTTTATTCGAACTTGTTTGGTTTTGAGGAATGATTTCCTGGTTTCAACGGATGCAGTACTACGACAACACCTTAATGAGTACAACGATCATCATCTTATTGTGCGAAAGCGTCACAGTGATGGCAATGAATATATATCAATGGCTGTGGAAGAGAGGGTGACTTGTATTTTTTTTCTAAACTTGACTTGTGAAATATTTGTATCTACCGGTAAAATAATTATCAAATAAATTAACCAAAACACTATGACTACTAATATGTGAAATTTTACAAAGGAAAAAGGAATGCCTCCAACTGTTTCATCATCGATACGCTATGCTGAATAATAAAGCAATGCTGGTAGCCATCCTGAAAAGATAAATTTATGAATTTTGTGAGAGCTTGAGTAGCAGTTTCATGACGGTCTCATCAATAGAAGTTCAATATAATGAATGTTTAAATAAATTTGGCAACGTTCTCGTTAATCATTGCAGTTTCTATCAAAATTTCAGATAATGGTGGAATTTATGAAGGAAAAGGGAATGCTTTTGAATGATGACGATAGTGATTGACATTTTGATCTCTTTCTATATTGGCAAAAAAGCTTTGATTTTAACATGAAATCGAAGAAATTCTTTTAAGTTTCTTTCATCATAGATTTGTATACGCATGAATGGAGGTAAAGAATAATTTTTTTGGTATGGACAGGCTCGAAAAGCGATGGACAGCAACAGCATTGAGGATAAAATGATTAAAACTCGGAGAAACCTTGTGAAACATCATAAAGGTAGCATATAGCATTTTTTTCCCATCCTAACAATTTTTATTTATCTACCTCTCCTAACTTCTCTTGTAATTGATTCACATTTTCTAATATTAGGGATTTACAATTTGAACGAAAATGATCATGATTTGTGGTTTTTTTTTGAGAAATCTTGGACATTTTGTAGAGCTTCCAAAAAAGCTCAAATTGATTTTGGAATTTACGAGTTGGAAACAGTTCGGGGTCATATGCCAAACTATGAAAAAGGACAATAGAAATTTAGCTGATTTCTTTTCTGATATCGAAAATGTAGATTATTATGTATTTAACCACAAATTAGTAGGTTCACTCAGTGTTTAATCACAAGTTTTAAACATCTTTAAAAGGATTGTTTTCCACTTGTAACCGTTATCATTATTATTATTGTTCACGGGTAACTTCATGTGAGCAAAATTTAAAAGAAAATCTTTTGCTGTGTTGCTTTTTTCGATGTATTTGCTCATTCTCTCAAAATTACACTTGTAATCTTCCTCATTCTCATTCCGTACAATATTGGCTATTTACTACTTGATAAAGCGTGATACAGTTCAAGTTGCTGAATTTCACTCAATGCTACTATGATGTGGTATGCATTTCAGGATTTAGGGGAGTTTTTATCTTTTCTTCCTAAAGTATGAGCTGGGATAATTTTTCTTTGTATGAAACGAATGATAGAATCTGAACGTATACGAAACTTTTTTTTAATGTATAAGACTATCCTTACAATGATAACACCAGGATGAGATAGAAAATTATGCTTATGTTTCTGCTTGCTGTTCCACTATTCTTCCGGGTACGTGCATAAATTCCTCGGAAGTGTTTTCAAAGCTTTAGCAATCTTTAAAAAGATTATTAAAAAAGTAGCAATTAAAGATTGTCAATTTAGTCTCTGATTGTTGATAATAAGGATTCGACAAGTTTATTGCCTTTCATTAACTGCAATATTTGGTCAATTGTTCGGGAAGAAAAGCTATCGAAGTAAGGAAATGAGAAGAAATGAAGTTTTTGAGACTCGATAATTGTATATATGACAGATTCGTGGTAGTAATCAGGTTTATATTCACATCACAACTTAGTTTAATTCGGTTGTTTCATTTGTGTCATTTACCAGAATCGGTCGGTCTTTCACCAAGTTATAATTTTGCTTCTGATTAAGCATGTAATTTGATAGTGTGAGCGTAATTACTAGCACTTAGATTATTTCATCCAAAATCATGGGGCAGTGTCAATCTGCAGTCGAGAGTCTTCCAGCATACGCACCTCAACTGATTGCTTTCTTGATAGCTTTAGTGGAACTTATTATTGTTGTGATCGCCTATGTCGCCAGAGAGACTCAGCGAAAAAAGGTTATCGATAAAAATTTTACAAAACAGTAGAAAGAAATGAAATAAATTTGTGAGACTTAAAGCTGAAGAGAATTATATATTTAACTATTTGATTAAATTATGTTTCACTGATTATGAATACTGAAACGAAATATGAATTTCGTCAAGCATTGTTTTTTTTCCTATTTCCTAAACTAATAACTACAACCAAAATCTAAAGACTTGATCGAATTGGATACAATTATTATTTGAACTGTATTGGCCAAAAACGAACCGTGAGAATCGTTTAAAAAAAGACTTGTGTTCAGGATTGATAGAACTCCGAACTTTACATGCCTTATGCTAAATAAATTAATTTAATAGTGAAGTTGTAGCTATTATTGCTACTGGTGCTACTGCTTCTGCACCTTGCAGACATTTTACGGGCGTGAAGATTTCGAAGATATTCCGGAAGAGGAAAAAATGGAACATGAAGGAGCTATTATGGGTAAAAATAATGAAGAAGTATGGATGAATTAATCTTTAAAATTCACTATATAGGTGAAGTGAAGGGAGGAAATGTCTAATATAGATGATAATGCTAAGAAAATTCAGTGGTTTAATTGTAAGATATCGTCAGAAAATGATTGACAATTTATACATTAGATAATTTCATATACAGCTCAATTTAAACGAAACGCTAACCGTAGAATTTGAAAAAGAAGGAAAGCAATAAAACAGATCTATTTAAAATAACTATTTCAAGCTTCGTATCGTACAATCGGCAGATCGAACGGCTGAAATTGACGTCGGTACAAAAACTACAGGAAGTGCTAGTGGTGTAAAAGTGATGGTACGGCGGAAAAAAGCTATTTCGTCAGTGATTTTTTTTCTCAGTTCAGTTTTTTCAAATTAGATGTTAAATTTTGCATATAGTCAATTATCTTATAGGGAGCAAACTGATTCGCTAACAAAAGAGATAACTCCTACAGATGCAAAAGTCATACGTTTTACGCTGGAAATTGATTGGACGGCACGAGGATTTGAATTCATCTCTGTACTTCAGGTATTACGAAATTTGCATGTTGATAGTTCAAATCTGAATGTAAATTTATGATCCATAAATGTTTATCAACTTTATGATAATCTTTACGATAAATGAGGAAGTAAAGTAACCCTCCAAACCCTTGAAAGGAAGCTTACCTAAGCTATTCATTGTCATAGACGTATTTAAATCGCATGAATTCGAACTAGTACTTCCTTATCAATTGTAACATTGCATTTAAGAATTTGTAAAAGAAGATACAATTATTAGAGTTCTCAAGATTTTAAGCTACAAGAATTTACAAAAGATGACTAGCCACCTCTAGTCTTTGTAGAAGGCTTTGCAAGAAGTTAAAGAATTTAAACAAATTCGATCCAAACTAACTGATGATGCCCAAGATCAACTATGTGATTTTCTGGTTCGCAAAATGCGCGCAATTTTGGAAGAGGTTTTTGTGTTGAATTTTTTATAGAAAGTATGATTAATTTAGGTAATTTAATGCATTTTTGAATAAAATCAATAATATGAACGTTTGATTTTTACGTTAAGGTTATATATCCGTTTTCGGGAAGGAAAAAAAAAATCAGTACTCCCAATTTTTTATCTTTTCGTTAACAAATAATGAATATCAAATTCAAATCACAGTCGACACAACGTAGATGGTTGGTACATGGAGTAATTCACAATAAAATTTGGAAAGTAAGCGGATTAGAAAATTTGCTAGAAAAGGGTGGGGGTGATATCAGGACACAACAAATGCTTCGTATCACTGCACAAGGACCGATGGCACCGATTATCATTCTTGCTTATATGGTATGTTAATGTTAAAGGAGCTAAATGAGAATATTGTGAGCAAGGGAAATAAATCAATAATTCATATCCTTGATCATTATATGGTACATTTTCCAATTCCAACTAATTCAGTTGCGTAATACATTACAATATTAGCATAACTCAGATTGAAATTGACATGAAACTAGAAGAGATGAAGATGCAGTCGATGCCAGCACCATTAATTATCAATAGAAACAAAGTGCGTGAAGAATCACCAACACAGTCTATTTCAAGGTGATTTAGATTATGAACTGAAAAATCTCCTCCGAAAATGTTTGGTAAGACAACATCTCAAATTTTTGTGGAGAAGCAAAAAACAAGAATACTTCCAAGTTTTTATTAATAAGTGCTTTAAAGGATAATTAAATCAAAGAAAGCGATAATATTTAGCAAAATATAAAATTTGCTCGATGTTAATCAATGCAATTATTTGAAGGACGTTTGAAAAGATGTCTCATATGAAACAAAAACCTTCACCTGTGATACCAAACCTCGCGACACCTGTAAGTTACTGATGATTCCTACTATTCCCAAGTAATTTAAGTAATACTGATGATTCGAAGTAATATTGATGATTCCTATGTATGACGATCCCTGTTATTCCTAAGTAATTTAAAAGCAACAACTGTTTGTCGCGAACACATCATTCCATAAAATGGATGACCCTCCAATCCTCAATGTGGCATTTCTAGATTTAAATGAAATTGAATATTTCTTGAAAATTTCTTAGCCATAAAGTTAAGCTAGAAAAGATTTGGATATAACTGGAATTGTCCAACATTGACAATCCTTAAATGCTTTTGTATTAAGACGAATTATCTTACGACGTTACATACAATGAGTACAATGCCATCGGAAAAATTACCTACAGTTGTGGATACATTTGTCCATTCACGGAGCAGCAAGAAGGACACAGGTCGAAGTTCCACGAGTATTAAACAGGTAGATATTCCTTATGGCAATCTTATAAAATAGATAGGCTCCAATTCTCAACTTGGTATTTTTATCAGAAATCTGCTGAAAATTAAAAGCATGACTCGTGCAATGCACATCAGCATTTGAAACATGTTTCTCCTGAAATCTGGGCCATATAACAATGAATAAATTCGAAAAGTTGAATTATATTTTTTTAGAAGAAGACGCTGTCAATGTCGTATAACAGAAAAGGTTCTGTCGGACAAATGAAGAAATTTTCAACTGTAAACAGACAGAGAACACCAAGTGACACAGATGCTCGTTCAAGATTTCGCAGCCACCACAGTAGCGAAAAGTTGAGAACTGAATATACACAAACTGAATAGTGATGTAGTCTTGGACGTCGATCTAAATCTATCTGTCGAAAACTCTTATCCTCAGGTCCCTTTGAGAAATGTCCAGAAGCCGTCACAGCCTAATTGCAAGGCTAGATCTTAGACTAGCCCTAAAATAGAAAATTTCTTTATTCTTGAAAATATCTTGTGGAACGGACCACAGAGTTGCAGATTCCTCTCTATTCACTCAAACCTGGGTAATTAAATCAATTAGATGAAAGAAACAATATTGGCATCACATAATCGCAAATTAATGCATGGAAGTAAGCTCCATTACCTCCACGAGATTAAATTTAAAGACCGGAACAAAAAGCAAAAAACAGAGAATGTTATCCTGCTGTCTGAACTAGAATCTAAAACTTAAATTGAAATCTCTAATATTACTGGATGTGTCCTCTCCAGAGATCCTATTTCATAATATTCCAACTTGATATTGTCCAAATTGACATTGTTTTACACACTTTTGCCATTTTATTTAATAAAATATAGTAAAATACAGCTACATTTCACGTAAATACGCCAGCATCAAAATTGATTCCAGAGCGATGTAGTGAAACTCGCGCATTACATCCATATATCCGTAAATTACATATGATCCAACATCCCAAATCACAAAATCGTTGTTCAAAGAGGAACTTATTTATTATCGCTAACATGCATGTGACTTTATAGAAGAGAGTGATTATATCAACAGAACTGACAGCAAAATGTTATAACTCAAGTCTGAGATGGAGATAAAACATCAAATAATAGATAGAAACATAACTGCATTTTATACTATTCAAGTCCATCACAAATACGACTACACAAGTATTCGGTCAACCACAATGACACCAACATATTCAGTATTTGAGTAACGAAAAGTTCATAGTAGTTCTTAGTATCAATTGTTTTGAAACAGCAAACAAGGAAATCGATAGTAATATGCTGAAGTCTGACTCGACACATGAAAATTTTGAGCTTGACGAAAAGTGATTTCATTCATCTTGCACATCGAAATTCCACTTGAACCGTTTTGTCAAGAAATTTTTGAATTTTTTAGCTCTTTCCTTTAATGCGGCATCCGCTGACTCACAGTCTATAAATAAATTCGAAAATGAAGATTTGAAATGATCTTTGGATCATTCACAAATATTATATCAATATGCCAACTCTCTCCAAATCGTCTGCTTTCTCCTTAAACAAATCTAAGGAACCTCGAACTTGTTAGAAATCATGCCAAACAACCACTGGGAGTATTCAGTCACTTGCCTCCCTAGAGTTGCATGAGAAAATGTATCGCTGTTTACCCACAGCATAAACCTCCCGAAACAAATTTAGAGCCTTCACGGTCTTCATTAAATATATTGTTTGTTGAGCTGCTAGCTATTTGGAACTGATTTCAACCTCCAATATTTTGTTATCATTAAGCACTGCTACTCTTACTGCCTTGCTTGCAAGAAGTACCCATCGGATTTCGTAGAAACTCTCCAACCATCAATTCTGAACTCGAACCACGCAGAATTACATGAATTTAAAACGTTATTTCACTTACCATTTATGTTCCCGAACAACCGAGAAAGTGTAGTTGTTAGGAAATTATCTCGAGAAACAATGTCGACAAAGAAGTCTTCGGGACATTCTCTTAACTGGAAATGAAGCACCGGTATTAATGCTATGTATAACTCCTTATGTTCTACGAGTTCCTTTGTACAGCTGCACAACAAATGAATCAGTCGTTTCCACTGTTCAAATCCTTCATAAACCTACAATTAGTACTTAATCGTGAAATATTCAAAAATAAAATTAATTATTCAGACGCTGGATCAGACAAGTTATTACCTGTCCTATCAGAAAGCACACGAATGCAAACTGCAATTCTCCAAGAAATTCGGACCAATTCCCATCAAGATCAACAAGGATTTTGTGTAACTGACAACTTCGATCCAACGAATTCTCTGAATTAACTGAAACAGCCTAAAACAGGAGTTTTTAGGAGACCAACTTTACGACGGGAATGAACTTTCTTCTTGAATTTCGAAATAAATTCGACCCAATCTTAAACCATACCACTTACCCCATGATTTCTCTGTGTGTATTTCATACAGATCTTTACCAAACTAAAACAAAATTAGGTCGAAGAAATTGAAGAAATCGTTACAGCACCACGAGGAGAAACGAATCCATGGAACGAATGCCAAAATGTAAAAATCAAGAACTTTTGTCTCGAAAAAAATTTAACGAAAATCAAGCAAAGTCAAGTAGACAAAAGTCAGATGTCCTTATTTTTATGAATATCATTAGAATAAGTAGGAAAAGAGAAACTACGAAATAACTAATAGTAATAAGAAGTTATACCTACCACGGAATGTAGAGGAAGTTCGGTGAAGCGTATTTGAAAACCTTCCCTAATCCTCATAATAGGAAGACCATCTTCATCTACAAAGCGTATCCTGGTTGGATGATCACGATCAACACAAGATGACGGATGTCCATGTACCTAAAAATGCGACATTAATTGGTCATTAAAAGTGCAATTTTTTTACGATGGCCACACTTCCGCACAGTGTTCCACATAACCAGTCCATTTAAATACAAAATAAAGAGGCTCAAAATAATATAATCCTTTTTCAAATTTTCGATAGCATTGACAAACTATGCAGCAATTAGACAACAAATACTGAATAATGCTAATAAACTAGATCTTCAATATGCACATCTTTTACAGGAAGGCAAACCTTCGAAATAATGAAAATATTGATGAGCACAAGACTGGCGCATATTACACAATATCAAATTTAAAAAAAAAAATACAGACAGAAAAAACTCGAGTTAAAGAAAATGCGGTTTGGGAGTTCAATAAAATTTTGGGGAATAATGAGAAAAGTTTCTTAGAGATAATAAATTAAGCACAGTAGAAAAATCATTTAAAAAAATGGACTAACATCTTCTTTTTCCATTATTTCGGTTTCTAAAGTGACTAATTCCGCTTGACCTGTTATACGACTGTACTGATTCTCTGGTCGTAATCTTTCCACCGTTTTTTCTGCAAAATTAAGAAATGCTGATAGAGATCAGACGAAAGTTATCAGATATGATTTAGAAAGATGAGAAAATTGGGAAAATATAAAGTATATTATAAGACAAAGGTTGAAGTTTTTAGTGTTCAAGTAAACAAGCGCACAAACCTGTAATATGATTGCTGAGGGAAAACCAAATTCTGTATGTGTCAAAAGGATACGGCGCTAAACCATCATCCATTGATTTCAAGTTTAAACGTACCCTCTCTATCTAAAATCCAAAATCAAAAATTCTAAAATCAAAAATTCAAATCCCACTGAGATCGACAGATCAAAATACTGGTCTTGTCCACTATACTGTGCATTTAAATATAAAGAAATAACCGGGGAAAAAACGACGAAAAGGATTTCTAAATCATTTTGACTTCATTCAAAATATACCTTACGTCTAACAAAAACAAAAAAACTGTGTGTAATAAAAAAATGAAATTGTTTGGCTTACAAAATATAATGGTTTTCACTTTTTACAAAATAAAAGATGAAAAAAAGTGAAAAGAAGTTCCAGATGCTAATTATTAATTAAGGACCAATATTTATACCACGAATACTAATACTTAGCAATAATAATATCGCAGGAAAAACTTCTATACATATTACCAATACTGTTCAGCTATTGAAAGCAAAGCATCTCACAGTGATTGTGTAACATCGGTCAAACGAGTTATAAATGAATCTCCCAAAATAGACTTATGAATTACTTATGTTAATGAGTTCCTAAGTTCGTAAACAATTGGTGACTACCTCATCTGCAGAACATGGCTCGATTATCATATCTTCACGTATGGGATCCCATTTACGTAGCAAAATTTCCTTTTCCTTAAAATGATGAAAAAATCCAATGCGCGGTGCCGTCTTGACGCTAAAAAAAATGAAGTGGATGCCAGGAGGGATCATCTTTAAACCGAGAAATTTTGGCCCCACATGCCATGACTTGTAATCGATGCCGAATTCCGTTGTTTGAGGTACATCAAGAAAAACCTGCAAAAATTCCCATGCTCAAATCCACTTGTCGCTGAACTCTATTTCTATGATATGAGTCAGATTTAAAAAGATAATTGTAGTATGGATTAAATTTAATTAAATTTAAATTAGATTTAATACACTGCTTACGGCAATGATTGGGATCAGTTGGCAACAGTGCACGCATATCTTCTCATGTTCAAATCCAGCATTAAAAAAGCAAATAAACTTCTTTAGCATTGAACAGGATATTAAAACTCGTTTCCAAACGAATGTAAGGTTCATTCAGAGAAAAAAAACGAATAAAAGAGTACTGAACAAATTTTCATCTCTTGTTGTAACGGTAAATAAACAGTTGATGTTTTATAAAGAACTAAACGATTTATCTTGGTTAACTGACTAGTTGTGAATGTAATCAGAATGTCACCTACAATGAATGCACCATTTTCATACAGATGATTGGCAAGACTTGGAGGCATATCCGATGCAGATGTTGTACATATAGATGCCGCAAGAGATACTACGTTTGCGTTGCTGTTTGTCATGAGAATCCTGAAGATACAGACACTAACTTATAAAGTATGGATAAATAAATTAGTTGTCAAAAACTTTTACTCCAAACACCATTTAACTTCATTGCAAAGATTTTTACAGTTCGTGCATCTATCTTTCCATACAATGTGCCATATTTTGTATAAAAATAACCAGAAACCGACTCGTCAACAAAACTTATACTACCATTGCACTACCCCTCACCCCCTCCATCACCTCCAACTTAAAAGCAGAGGTACATTCAATTAACGCGGTCTGCAAATGAAATACTTTGCAATCATTTGCGATATTTCAATTTTGTAAGATAGTTGCAATTCTGTAATGATAGCTTGTCATACAAATATAGTTGTCATTACTTACAAGGTGACAGTCATCATATCTTTCAAGTTATCGTGTTTCAGCTGGAAATTTGCATATTAATTAGGATTTAATATAAAAATTTCAAAAGATACTAAAGCGGTCATTGCTGCATTCATCATGCGTTGCTATTCTGTTTTATCGGTGTTTCTTGTGGGCGCTTTTGTCATTAGCACCGCAGTAGCTGTACGACCATTTAATTGCGTAAGTGATCGATCTCTTCGAAAGATCACCGATTATGTTACCTAACAACCATAATATTTCAATATCTATCCAGAAAAGCTATAAAAAGAGGAAATGGACAAGTCATCCAATCCTGAAATATCATATTTCCAAGCCTATTCTGACAGGGAGTATTTTCTCGGGTTTTATTTGCAGTGAAAAGAATATTTTATTACTTCTTCCATTCGCTATACGAATTATTTCGAATTTTTTCATACAATAATAGCTTATTTTAAGTAAAAAAATAGCTTTAAACTGTCGCTCCCTCCCCGCACTCCACAGTTGTTCTTCTGAAAAGGGCTTCAACCTCGATTATTCTGATTTTAATTATAATTCCCAGTGCCACTGAAAACTGAATATATGCAATTATAAAATTCGTTTGCTAATCGCTTTCCCGCCACTATTCAAATTGACCTCACTCAAAACTACTTAATGACCTCACCTTAAAAATGGCAGTGACGTAAACAACAATTAAACCTTTCTCTTCCCTCTGACCAAGAAATGGTATTTCATATCTTTTTCGACCAGCTGCTAATAATTTTAACACTATGAAAATGATTAAAAAAACGCTTCACAATCGAAATGCAAACAAGCATGCATAACATATGCAAATTCACGTATGCATGTGTGCGTGTGCATGCACTTTCGCGTAAATAAAGAAATCCGATTCGTTAAGCATCGTTTTCAGTGCTATCGAAATATGCCAGTTGTAAACTCAATCGGAAAAAGTCTTTTTTGAGAGCCGCTTGATTGTCTTAACTTCTTTCCTCTAGTGATCCAGCAATTGTATCAAAAGAAACTTTTTTTATGATCTTCCTATCTTTTCGATCACTTGAATCATCCTAATCTGCTTTTATTCATTGATCACATTCTCTATCAATATTACACGTGTATGGTAGAAAACAGATCGATACAGCATCCGTTACAGCGGGGATATTCGGAAATCGATTCAAGAAGATATATGGCAATAGCTGCAAGGGATGGAATTAACCCAGGTGAACAAATTCGGCTTCTCGTTCGTCGTTTCAAGGACATTGCTACAGATGCGTAAGTGTTATCTTTAAATTATAAACGATATTTGACGGCGTTATCATTTTTGTAGAATAGTAGTTCCCATCCTTTTCTTGACCAATGACCACTTTGGATTTCTTTGCATCAGGGACTACAAGGTTCAAAAGTAATAAACTTTGTTAATTTGGAGATAAACTTTAATTAAAACTTTTAAAGCATTAGTTTATCAAATATTGATAAGAACAGCCCTCTCTTGCTTTTCACTCACTGCGCCGCTGCTCTCGCAGATCAGCGGTAACAGAAGGATGCAAGAAACATTCTAGAATAGGGCCTACATAAGATTTCATTCCAATCAATCAAGACAAGATTTTGTTGAATCATTCTTTATGATAGCAATCAGTTCCATCGTATCTTTCTCTAACCTTTGAGATTTATGTTATCAAATCCTTGATGTATATCCAATTTACGGATGTATTTTTCGCTCTACAAACTTACTGGAATTGTTAACAAGTGTGATAATCAAGCAATTATCAAACAGGAAAGAGATGAAATTTGAATGTTTGTAAAAGTTGTCGAATTTAAATTGGAAAAAAAATATGAAATTATCAAATTAATATCAAATTTGGTCTTTTAGCTTTGATATACTTCAAATAGGATATTTGGACAAGGGCACAGTGACCTTATCACATGGTGGTGGTAATTTTTTGCCCAAATATCCGTTTTGGTTCGATCGTGAGAAATATTTCATGACGATAAGAATCGTTCATTGGATATATGAAAAAGGCATCGTAGTGACCAGGAAACTTTTCAACTCGACTGATGTTTGTCGTTATTGATTTTTTTTTTTGTTTTACTTAACTATATCGTGAAACACTTTCAAATAATTGCATCTAATGATGCGTGCTATATGTGACTTCCCTTATCATTGTGATTATCAGTTGATTAGTTATTCCATTTGATCATTAATAGTGACAAATGGTAATGCTTACAGTACAAGGCAGTCGGCGTATTTCAAGAACCAGAAGGCTTTTTTTATGGATATGCCGGATATTACACGGAGCTTGTTTATGTTATTGGATATGCTAATAGAATTGTTGATCATGCTCATTATTTTTATGTTCAAGGCAAAAAAATGTTTCAGTATAACGTAAGCATTGCTAATATTACTCATACAACTTTTGGTTCAAGCTCAAACTCCTTTCAATCTCGAAACTTCGACTTATTGATCGAAATCTCATCCTCATCATTGTCATCACCAAATATATATAACCTTTTTTAATTCATTGATCAAAAAAGAAAAAAAAAAGAATGAGGAAAATTTCTTTGTCATTATGATTAGCATTTTCTTTCTGAAGCAAACAACTTTCTTTTTTTGTCTTTACTTAATTCAATTCTATTTTTCTTTTTTTTTTAGCATTTTAACATCCCAGGTGATATGTTCAACCCCAGCAGTTCAACCACTTTTGAAGGTGCTGTTACTTTGCAAAATACTATTGAAGCATATCGGAGTTATGTGAGTAAACCAAACCCGTTTCATGGTGACACGGATCAGCTGGTCTTGGAATCAATGGGTTCACCAATGCCATATCATGCCACATTTGCTTTTGGTGGCTTTTATATAAGTAAACTTTTTCTTGCATTACCTAGTCATATAGTAAGTTAACTAATTGCTGAGTAATTTATCTCTGAAGGACTTGGAAGTGACATCATTTTCAGTGCTTCATGAATACTTCTTGATTCGATCACTTCTTATATCGATACATCCTTTCAAATGCTTTCATTTTTGATTATAAAAATTTGTTAGCGTTACTTTTTGGTTTCCTATCTTTATGCCTAATTAAGTGATTCATTGTTCAAATTGAGAATTATTCTAACATTTTTATTTCTATCAGAAGAATGTTAATTCAGTAATCTTCTTTATTAAAAGAGAAAAAGAGAAAAAGACAGAAGGAGAAAAAGAAAAAGGTTTTCTAGAAGGTTAAAGGTTTTATTCTTTTCCAAAATATTCCAAATCTTCTTTATCTAATTTTCTATTATCTCTCATCATTAATTCCTTCTTTTTAGGTCAGCGAGCACATTTTGCTGGCTTTTTCAGCAATACTGTCATCGCTGAAATCAAGACGCCTTATAGCTCATACATATTTTATTTGCATAAAAATAGTGTATGTAAATTTTAAACTATTTCAAATAACTACCAAATGATATGACTTCACTTTCTTGTTGAATTTCCATAAGAGTATTTTCAAGCGGAATTATCTCAGAATAATAATAGCTTAAAATTTATTATGAAATGAGTGAAATCAGTAGTGATAAATTCATTTCCCCTCAAAACTATCATTTATACTTGAAAAGCTTTGATATAATACACATAAATTAGTGTTCTGACGGATGTTAATCTTGCAAATATCATATTTAATTGTTTAATTGTTTAGTTCAAACCTTACTTTCAAATAAATTTCTTCTCTCTTTCATCCATTGTGCATTACTTTTTATTACTGAAGAAATTTAATAAAATCCCGAAAAGAATTAACAAATACTGACTAATCACCGAACAGTGGCAGTGCTATTAATCTCATGTTGTTTGTTTCTTTTTGGTATAATTAATTAAACATCCAAAAATTGAAATAAAGAGTAATCCAACACTTAGGTGGTATTCAACAACATTACGATGTGGATTGAAACTGGTCTTTATGGAGATGAGTTGTTCGATCAGATTGGCAGTATATCATTTGTAAATGCAGGAGAAGTATTGGCGGTTTGTTACTTCTCATTTCCTTTCTTTTTTTTAATTTACCATCTTTTTAAATTGAACCTTACTCTACAATAAGTAATATTAGCATCGAAATATAATCGTAAATTTCTATTTATCAAATTTGTTCATGAAATATAACAAATGTTACGTCAAATGAGAAGAAAATGACAAAGTAATAATTCTCTTTTTTTTTCGACAGATTATATATAATATTCCGCATCGATTTAATTTTATGCACATAAATGAAGCGCTCTTCTCGCAAAAACAGATGGTGCAATTCTACGTGAAATGGGATGGACCAATAACGGAAATTATTCTTTCCGATGCATTACAAACGAAAAAACCGGACAACTTAGACTATGATCCTGTTTTTGAAAGCGTAACATTGCTTCAACATGTTGATATTGATAATGAATTGATTGTACGGTCATAAATTATCCAAGTGCGTTGTTAGTACACGTATATCCAATACGGTAACAACTGATGATAACAATTATATTGTAAATTTTTCTGTTTTGTAATTCACAATGCTGTTGTAATATAATTATCATCAGCAAGTCTGATTATCATTATCATTGCATGTTGTTTGCTAATAGAAGGCCAATTTGAGATTCTATGATTTTTTCCCCTTTAATTTTTTTTTTTTTTGTAGTTTAAAGATGGATGAGATAGCCGCAGATGAGATTAACCGAAAATATAAGAATTACCGGGAGACGGAAAATTAATAGTTGACATGCCTTCATCGTATTTATTATCTTTCAAAAATATGGGAAATTGCTCGGCAATCATCATTCCTGCTTTGAAATCAATTGATCATTTGAGGTTGAGGTTCAAATGCTTGCTTGACATTCTGGATGACATTTAAATTTGTCTGTTCGTCTATCCAATTGGTTCCGAAATTTTTTTTCTTTTGTTTCAATTTAACAATTAGAGTAAGTTCGTTTTTCATTTCGGTACTATCTAAGTGAAACATTTTCAAAACAAGGTCAGCGCATTTTCAAAATTGCGATGAATAGCTACATGTAGTTTAAAAAAGCAAAGAAAAAAAAATTTTCGACGTTTTCACAAATTTAACTTCTCCACTGATATGGTGTTGTGTTTAATTTTTGCTACAAAGACAAGAAAAAAAAATAGGGATGTGATTCGAAATTCTGTGTAAAATCCGGAATTTATAACAAAAATGTGATGAACATCTTCGCAGCATCATGCGAATCATGCTCAAATCCTAATGCTGTTAATTCAAATCCGGCTGGTATCAACAGGATGAATTCTAATAGTTGGCGGTTGATGGGCAGTACATGTCCATTCTGTTATATCTCGGATTAATACGCTTGATCCCTGAATTACTTATGTGTGGCATATTATCTACTACCAAAGTAGTAACTAAATTTTTCATCCGATTTTCATAACTAATATCAAGTTTTTCAAATTGGCATGGGCTTCCGTGGCGCAATCGGTTAGCGCGTTCGGCTGTTAACCGAAAGGTTGGTGGTTCAAGCCCACCCGGGAGCGTCGGTATTCTTTTCCAAAAAGTTCGGCTCTACGAAATGCAACTCTATATCAAAATGTGGTTAATTGCTTCCAATCATTGTTGACATCATTTCCTTGCTTCTTTAGAGCGACAAAAGTTGGGTTTTTTTGGACTTCACCTAACTACTGTATGTTTCACGATCCAGTCACTTTTCAGCAGGATATATATTGTGTAATACAGTGATTTCCTGAAGTGATCGGTGTACATGCGCTTCTCAAACATATTAATTTCCCAGAGTAATCCGCACGACTTAGTAAAATATTTATTAGGTTTTTTTTTTCTCCAGATTAACGATTTTCCGATATCCTCCCAAAATTCAGTCATTTTTCAACAAAGAATCCTTATAAAAATAAGCCCCTTTCGACGTAGTATAACTGTCAACATTGGAGTACTACCAGCCTATTCTCGGAATGCAGTAATTTCATGTTAAGCTTTTCAAAGGACCTCCGAAGACCAGCAATTCTTTCAGCATAATAAACACCCTCTTTTGATCTCACAAGGGTTCCATTTGCCATTTGATCTTTGAAGACATGTTCCTATTTTTGAAGTACGTCTTTTTCGACAGGCACATCGACCTCCAGAATCTGACCTTTTTGAAAATCCAACCATTTTCTATCCGTACGTTTCTCCGGAATTCTGCCAGTTATGAGGGCGTATTTCAAAAATAGGTAATAAGCAACAAAAATTAATGACAATAATTAGTAATAATTTAATTAATAATTAATAATTAATAATTAATAATTAATAGTAATAGTAATAGTAATAGTAATAGTAATAGTAATAGTAATAGTAGTAGTAATAGTAATAGTAATAGTAATAGTAATAGTAATAGT